ACCCCGCCAAACCATATCTTAGATGTCGATAAAAAACGCCCCCACAAAAACCATACATGTAAATCCTGTCAAAAGTGTATACTGAAACTCGTGGAAGAAAGTCGTCTTTGCGTATCTCGCTTTTTTCCACTCTTCCTTTGGTCTCGCAATTTGCGTCTTGTCATCGCGATCCAAAAGCTCTTCTCTATCTGGCATTGTTGGTGGCCAAATTGCATAGCGGATAGGCTCAAAACAAGCTGTGAGACACATCATCCAGAGCATAGGAGGCCAGAAAGCATGGGTAAGAAGGTAAACGAGCTTTTTCTTCAAGGTATCATTCTCAGAATCGAGAGCGAGGCCACGGACGGTACTGTAAGTGACAGCTGCAATGACGAAGAGAATATAGAGGAGATGCATGTAGCATTGACAATCCCAAAGAATGACCCAGAGACGTCTGAAGACTCCTGCACGTGTACGTGGATCGCGCTCATTGATGTCGCTCTTCTGACTACCGGAACTGGAGAAAGCCATGGGTTTTCCACCGAGCCAGGAAGGGAGCAAAAAGGACATGATGATTGTTTTTGCATGGAAAGGAGCCATCCACAATTGAGCGCCGGAATCGCGTTGCGCCAAACGATATCCAGAGGGAATATAGGTGACCCATTCGTTGAGACGTGTAAGCACGAGTTGAATGAAACATAATCTGATTTGCCATTTTAATTGCGTTTCGGTGTTGTAGGCTACTAGTTGACCACCAGAAATAAGAACGATAGGGATGGTGAGGAGAGCGATGCAGAGGAAGATTTTGAAAAATGCGTCGATGGCAAAGACGAATGCAGAGAGACGGGCGAAAAAGCTCATGCCTTTTACCAAATCTCCAAATAGACAGAATCTCAATTTAAGTGCGGTTTGTAGCGTTCCTAGTGTCCATCGTGTACGTTGTTTAAGATGACCGGTGATGGTGTCGGGAACGGTACCAAATTGTAGGGCTTCGTGACAAAAGGCGGTTCTCCAACCGGCACCGAGAAGGAGGGATGAGGTAAAGGTATCTTCAGCGAGGGAACCAACTGGCCAGCCTCCAATATCGTCGAGGGCTGCACGACGAATGGCATAACCGGATCCAGTGCACCATGCTACTCCATTGGCATCCTTGGTAGGTTCCATTACGTGAACAAAGGCATCGAGGGATTGACAAAGCGGATCATTTTGAGGAACGTTGTAGAAAAGCTAGTTGTGTTGTTAGTTCTCTAGCTCTGATGTTTCCGAATGATTAAATTGAGAGAAACACATACCTGAGGTGGACAAACGAGAGCCATCTTATCATCAATTACCATATGAGCAATAATAGCTCTCAACCAATCTGCTTCTGGAATCATATCCGCATCCAAAGCTGCAATAAACTCGGCTTCACCTCCTTCCAAATCGACCACGAAGTTGGTTCCACCTGTAAGATTACCAGCTTTGAAATGATGTGGAACACCCTTAATCTTGATACGGGCATGATAATAGACGTTAGGATATTCGAGTGAGAGTTCGTTGACAGCCTTTTCTAATTCGGGATCTTTTCCATCATCGAGAACGACAACGCGGAAACGGTCTTGAGGGTACTATTGTTTTTGTTAGCATTTACGCAATGGGAAGAATGTTTGGAAATTAAACACTTACATCGCCAGCAGCAGCAGCTCGGGTCGTATCAAGAACAACATCTACATCTTCACCGCAGCACGTAACGAAAACATCAACAGTAGGTACTTCTTCACCACGAAGACGAAGCTTTGGTCGTGAACGACCGCGAATGGATAACATTTGGTACAGTTGGTGGAGTAATGCGGGACCTATTTGACGTAAGTGTGCGATCTCTTGGCAAGACTTGGCAGGAGAAATAAATTTTGGGGAGTTGCGATAAGCGGAAGGATTTCTACGTGAAGGAAACTGGGAATTTTCCGGCTCCAACAACACACATCGAACACGGAGAATCGGAGGAAATGTCAAAACACAAGTACTTACAAGCAACGCAACCTTCAGCTGCAATGAAAAGCCATGCCATGATATATACCTTGTCATATGCTTTTTGAACATCAACAATGCATATGATACGGTATGCGTAGTAAAGGAAGTATGAGCCACAGGCTAACAATGTGAAAAGTGGTGATAATCGATACATGTTTCTTTTCCAAGGAGGAAGGAAGATTTCGTCATCGTACTTGTGTAGTGTTTCGATTTGATAGACAGAAGTATCGAATCGCTTGTTGAAAGTATTGAAATGTCTGACTTTCCTAGCAGTCGCTGGATCTTCCTTCTTGAATTCTTCATAACTGATACTTTCATCTTGTAAAGCTGGTGTCGGGCATGCTGTTGCTCCATCGTAGGATGAGGTATCGGAGAAAGAACGGCTATGATTAAAGGGGTTTAACGAAGAGCCGTATGCTGGACCAGGTGTTGAAGGGCCAGGTGTCGACGTGCCAGGTAATAAAGTTGCCGAGCTATAATTGTTTATTAAGTTTATGTTCGACGATGATCGCAGAGTGCCGGGTCGACTGTTTTGAATGGTGTCTAAAGAGGTGACTGAATCATTGTTATGAAACTCACCCCATCTTGCTGCTGTAGGTGATGGTGGTTGAGGGAGAGATTGGAACTCTCCGCGGTCGTCACTATCACTGTGAGCCGCCGTGGGAGGAAACTGTATCATCCCGAATTATGTTTCCACGGAATATTGAGTGAGCGAACGAAAAAAGAGAAGACTCAAGGTTCAGATGACGTCTATAAAAATGAGGTCAATTGAATGAGTTAATGAGTAACCAGAATATGTAATGAGGAAAACGAATGAACCCTAAAGAATAAGAGAACTGTAGGACTCGTCTGATTCTTAAAGAGATGGAGATTTCGCATGCACGATATCTGTGAGACCAAAATAGTAAGAGATACGAAGTGGATGTTAGTGACAAACATACATGTCCCTGTCAGAGCCTCGAACCCTGAGTTGGAATGGTGAAAGGTATTGGATAACATCTGTACAAGGCTTCACGGAACCACTTATACTGTTAAAGGATGGCTCCAGTGGGGAACATATTGATTGAGGAGATATTTTTGAGATGCCTCAAGATCTCAAGTCACCGCCAAGATAATATGTGGGATGTTACTACTTAGTAACGTTAGTCGTTTTTTGGGGCGCTTTCCCACTGACCTTTTTTTTCTTTTGAGCTAGAACTATCTAGGCTATGCTTGAACATTTAAATTATTTGAATTATAGAGTGTTAGTCTCTAGAATAAAATATTTTAATCAATTGATCATGAGCTATGATAATTATTGTTATTCCGGTTTATCAGACATCTTTGACAGACCTTAGATAGAGTTTGAACAATTGAACTGTATATAGTTAGTTGCCTCAATCGTTATAACAGATCTTACTGGCAATTTTCGCTGATTAAATTGCTCATGCAATTAAAGAACGCTTGGGAGCCCGAGGCGTCTCTTTACTGCGGGCTGGAGAAATCAAAATTGCTACTCAGAATAGTTCAACTTGTGTGGATTTTGAAGTGGAAGGTCTTGGTGTACAATTGCTATTCCAGCTATTATCCAAAGAGAGAAGCAAGCTAAACCTAGATTCTTTCTTTTGGATTTGGACTGCAAGTAGTGCAGATCAGCCATCCAGGGCATCGTAGAAATCCTCGACTGTTCGTCTAAAAACAGAAACGATGCATAAACCCGTGTAGGTCAACATGTTTGTATGGATCTGTCAGTCACCTAAGCAAACGCCGACAAAACGACTGGGTATAGTACCCAGATTTATGGTGTTGATACCATGAAAGTACAAGGAGAACTCTAGATGACTGCTCCACTATCTCTTCGATGTAGCGATACTTGAGTGTGTAGTTGGAGGACGCGACAAAGCTTACTAAATTGGAAAACACAACAAGGGAGAGCGAGCCACTTTCGGACCCACTTCAACGCAAACCCTCCACGCAATATGTTTTTAGTTCTGCATTCGGGCTGTATAAATTTGGCGAGAACCCCCACGGAAAATTGCCGTATTACTGCCAACCAGGTTGAACGAAATATGATTATGCTTAAGATATCCTCCCACAATGAATATTTCGAACAATACCTATGTTGAACACAATTTTCATCCGAACTTACCAGTGTAAAGGTTTCATCTTAGTGAGCCGGTACACCAGCGATTGGAGGGAAGACCTTGCTTCCTAACGATTCAAGTGGATATCACGGAAGCCGCCGTAGAATCTATCTAACGCTCACAAGGTACCTTCCTGAAGCTCTGAGCGACAGCAGTTGATGGAACTTGCTTGCAGTAGTGTGTTCAAGGTTATCCCAATTTGGGGGCATCGGGGATCAAGATAAGAAAGAAACTCACAGGAAGCCCTTGTAACAAGATACGAGGTGAGTATGCGGCGGATAAGACGGTTGGTCTCCACAACAGCTCTGTGAACCAAGAGAGTGGGTTGTAAGAAATCCACTCGGCAGGACAAACGACATCTGATTCTGATAGCCATATCCTAGACATTCGGAAACTTTTTCCAACAACCATAGTTGGCCCGATATATCAAGATATGCTTCATGCCCGGGTACTAACCCATGATATCGTCTAAGCTCATTTGAATCTCACTTGACAAAGGAAATTCACATCGGAGCTTTTGCGATAATGGGAGACAAGTCTCCTCTTTTAGATCGAGGAAACCCAAAGTGGATGTTGGAGATAGTGGAGGATCCCCTTAATAAAACTTGAAAACGGCATTGATTCGTAATGGATGTCAACTACAACGATGAGATTGGACGAACACCTGTCAACGCCTCATTTGTTTTTCCGAAGGAGGTTCACCAGCTTTGTCATGAAAGGCTCATTTGTTTCCTCTATCGTAAAGAAACTAATTGTGGTGCTAAGCTGTGACGACGCGTGGAACATGCATGGTTTGAAGTGGAGATGTTTTTTTTTGGTCGGGCTGGACATCGTATGAATCGTACTTGGAGGCCTTAAACCTCAGGGAAATGGATTTTTCTATGAACCTTAAATCTTATTGATGCAGTGGATCTTACTGGGAAGACTTGTATGGACTTTGCTTCGCTTTACCTTGAACCTTGAGGATGGAAAGATATATATAAAGGGGACGAAAGTACAGGACAGCAGATGAAGTAAAATATAGTACAAAGCAGAATCTCGGGAATCGGAATGAGCAAACGATTTGTTGTTAGCTTCAGATTACATAATACTCTGCTGCGCCTCACTTACCAGGGTTCCAAGGTCAATGCAGCAGCCAACCGGCTTGGCTGTCTTTCCTTGCCCTCGAGCTCCATCCAACGGTCAGGAGTCAATAGTTGGAAACCAGTACCGGCATTTGCAAAGATTCCGATATACATACGCATTTTTACTCAGGCGGTTTTGCATAATTTACAGCAAATCGTATCCAGTCGGTTCATGAAGTGCCCCCAGCTCCGTGTTCATCTGCTCCGCTCCGCCCGACCAAGAAAAATGCAATGCCTTACTCCGTAATGTCGTCAGAATCAATCAATTCCCAGAGATATTTTTCGCGGAGCTCCTCTTTCTAGCATATCCTTACCGACTGTTCCGAATAGATTTCTTAAATTAGAAAATAATGACGCTATGTTAAGGTTAACAAAGTAAAGTTTTTTCATACCGGCATTCACCCTCAACATACTTTCATGGAAGCTTCTAGGAAATGCCAGCTCATGCTCTTTATAAAAAGGAGTCTCGTATTGTATCTGTTTTATTCTATTTTGATTACCGCGCAATCCCAAGAGTTCTGCATAGAAGATTATATTGATAGTTCTTGAAGACTGACTTGGCAAAAGTTCGCTAGAGAAATGAAGGGGTCGTGAAGCAAATACATCGATAAGCTGCGCAAAATCTGCGAGTAAAGCCAAATCTCCGTTCTCTTATTTATTTCTCGGCTTTGATGGGTATAAGATGAAAGAAAAAAAGTGCTAAATTCCAAAGGTAGAGGGTGTAGCCTCAAATCAGAAGAGAAAGATCGACATCCATCTTGGTCTCCGCATATTCACCTTCCCGCTTTTGTTGGTTAGAAATCATATTTAAATACCTCGGAACCTCTTTGATTATCGACTCTAATCATGTAAAAGCAGTCACTCTCTCCTCAAATGGAGTATTTCCTCACGATCGTCGTTTTTTCCGAAAGAGTGTCATATCCGATGAGTGATGTCACTGGCGCCGCGAGCATCCGCAAGAGAGATCGACTTTTCCATGACGAAATTTTGCTCTTCAACGGCTGTCCCTTCTTGACTGTCCTGCGGTGAGGCTCCAATGACTTGCTGTCAGAAGTTTCTCCCTCCATCAGTTCTGCACTAAGTTGATTCTATTTGCTTGGAAAATCGAGCCGTTTTAACGAATCATAACAGTCTAACCGGATTCTCGACTCACAAGGCTTCACTAACAAACTGTGATTCTTGGTCAATTTTACGACCTGGGCTACACCCACTCCTGGGCTTAGCATCCTCGGCAGTACAGAAAAGGAGGTTGGTTATCGTGATCAGATTGAGATGCTTCCACTCTATAGATTCCCTGAGAATCGTGCCTTCAAGAGTAAGTTGCAAACAAGGCAATTAGCGTACATAACCGCTAGCTAAACCACGCATTATTCCATGAGCTTGCGAGGAATAAGTAAATCACAATCTGTCACTTCCGAGGATCCATTGAAATCACGAACTCTCGAGTAGCAATACTGGATACCTTTGAGTCAACACCGAAGTTGACATTCACACTGTAACCTCATATCAAATTGAGGGGTAAGTTGGTTACCGGTTGGATGTGTCAAAAAGGATTTGGTGCAACGGAAAATGCTCGATCCTTAGCGATCAACACAAGCATCACATCAATATTCTTCCAGCCGGACCTCATTTCAGGATTGCCAATCTGGTGTTTTAATTGGCGTAAAGGGAAATCCGGAAAGCATTCATGTGATCCCGAAACCAATCAAGGAAGAAGATATTTTCATCCCCTGGAGCAATCTGTTGATCTATCTAAATCATCACGTGGATTTCAGTAGGTCCTCACTCATCGAGCAAGGCACTAGCCACACTTTGTTTCCTCACAACAATTTACAGAGCAGCAACATCAACGTACGACTGAAAATTGGAAGGCTCCGTCCGAATGAGGAGAAAACCTTTCTCAAAGCAAACCAGAAGTCATCTCCCCCTTTCTTCAAGATTGTAAATTAAGAAGCAACAATCATTCAACACAGAACTGTAACTATACGAGCTCCCTTTCAATCTGGTAAGGGCACTGAGTAAGGTTGCCATGATTCAGTAATTACCACTATCAGCAAGAACCCTGAAACCAAGAATATCCGTATAAAACCACCACAATTCATTTCGGCACCGAACCTTATCTACGCAGCAACTGACAAGAATGAACATCAGATGAATTCACTAAAAGAAAAAAACGAACTTCATGCCAAGTAGTTAGTCAGGTACCGGTAACCAGAAACGTGGTGAAAAGTCCGAGGACGCGGCACGGCTTGTAAAACGGGACTAGATAATGAAGGGCTGAAAAGGCGCTATATCATAGGCGATGAAAAACTTTTGCCGGTGACATAAACGCTGACGAATTTCTCAAAACAAATGACGGCGCTTACGAAGGCGTGTTTGATGGCCGACTACGAGACCTAGAGGCTAGACCTCGTCTCAATCATTTATACAGGATAATATTATCTTACATGTTTGACGTGGAGACCCCGAAATTGACCAAGTATCTTGGTTGTCTCTTCGTGTGGTTCTTCTTTCAAATGTACGCTCTGTGAGGTGATGGAAAACGTCCTTTAAGAGGGTCGAGTACCAACAGATGGTCATAAGTATAAGGTTAACCAACAACGTAGGTCTCCTGGATCTGAATTTCTGTTGGATTTGAATAGACCTCGAGTGAGGACCTTTAAGTTGCAATCTACAAGGCGCAGTAAATTCCATATTGTAGGAATTCTTGGCCAACAATTTAGACCTCTGAAAAGTCAGCATAATCCGACAATCGCTATACTGAAGATTCCTGAGGAAAGTGCTTGTTCATTGTCGTCTTGTTGGTTGGTTCTCTCAATTTTGAATTCTCCAGTGTCGATTTCTGGGACTTCATCTAGTTCTCGCTCAATTGAGGATTTAAGTCGTCTTTGTTATATACTATTATCTTGTGTCAAGGGAAGCATCTGGTACAAGCGTTTTTATCTTCAATTCCTCACACTCCTTGAGATATTCTCCTATATTCATATTCATCTTGCTGTCGGACAGTCACAAGCAGTCATTCCGTCCGTCTTTCATCATTAATAACCATTCAAGGAACACTCGACGTACTGCATTCATGTCCTCATGACTTTCCAAGTCTTACATTGCAGTTCTCACAACCATTGTGTAAGTCAATTTTGATTTCATTTCCCAACCACTCACTCAATCGTTACATCATCCAGTCTCTCACCTGAATCAAAACTATTCTTTCCCCGTCGACCCCTTGCGAAATGTTTCTCAGTCCTCGATACAAATTCATTATCTACCTCTTCCCTTTTCTCACACTATCAATACATGCACAAATGACACAGATATGTGATTCTACAAATGCAACAACGAAATCTGGAAGATACACATTCTTCCCAGACATTACAACGACTGATAAAGATGGATATCAATGCACAGATGTGAGTTGTTCTCCCTCCTCCAGAAAGAAGAAACAATAAGGGAAAAAGCTAATTTGACCTCTCTCAAGTTCTCCCTCGCCGACGAAAACAGCGGTAGCGTAGGCTCAACAACTCAATTCAACACCACTTTTTCCTGGTCATCCTCCCCCGATATCTCGACCCCGCACTCCTTCCCCTCCCTAACCCTCAATCTCCCCTCCATCCTCCCCATCCCCATCTCCAACATCTCTCTCTTCCCCATCACCAACAACTGGGCCCTCTACCCCGGCAACCCTCTCCACACCATCTCCGCCACCACCCCCGATTCCCTACTAAACGCATCCGTCATCGCCGCCTGCTACCTGAACATCTATCTCGATCTCGAACCCTCCCTCTCCCTCGACAAACGATTCTCCGCCACCAAAATCTCCATCTGGCAAGCCAACTACGGAGGCTTAATCCCCCTCGGTTACAACGACACCACATCCACAATCACCAGACCGGTCATCAATCTCGCCGGAATCTCATATACTCTCTACGTATCGCAAACCTCCCCATCTACTTCCTCTTCTTCTGCGTATTCGAATTCCTCCACAGTAGTAAACGATGAACCGCAAGTCCCACAAACGATATACACGTGGTATCCCTCCGTCAACGCCACAAGCCTCACCGCAATGGATATCTCCCCCCTGCTCAATTATCTCTGGAGAGAAGTATATATCTCGAGTAACACGTACGTGGGATTTGTAGAGTGGGGATTGGATGCGAGAAATAGTATTGGGAATGTAACGTGGAGTGTGTATGAGACGGGGATGACTGTTAAACCGGGGACGCCGGTGAGGGCTGTGGGGATGGGGAGAAGGAAGGAGGTGGGGAGGGGCGAGATGCTGGCGCTGGTGGGGTTGTTTTTCGGGGCTGTGGTGTTGTTTGGATAGGGTTGGGGTGGGGCGGGAAGGGGGATGGGAAGGACTTGCGTAAATCTTGTTTTCCTTTTCTGTAAAATTTGGTTACATTCATGAAAATCGATCATAAGTACCTACCCTGCGTAATGGAGCAAGAAATCCAAAACTCATTATGCAGAGGGTTTACACAATAATCTCAAACCATCTAACCACATCAAGAAGAGTTCCACATATTACGAACAAAGAATCACAATCAAGGTTATAAATGTTCTCATTATGCCTTTCACTTCCAATTCGAGCAAAGGAAGAAGGAGAAGGAATCAAGATGAGGGAAGCGAGGTGAATCTTCATGTTGTTTTGCTAGTTATGGTTGTAGTTGTAGTTATAGTATGATATCTGTATTTTGTATTATATGATACACCTACCTCTGTTCATCTCTCCAGACTTCTAATCTCATTTTCAACCGATTCCGCTTTTCCCTTCTTACTTACCCATCTATATTAAAACAAAGTACCGTAGGAAGCGCGATGTGTCACTTGGGTATAGGTATCGACTTTCAAACAAAAATCCTAGATGAGGAAGTAAAGCAGAAGTGGAGAAATATCTCACTACCCTATATCCAAGGAAAGAGGAGGAACAAGCACCATCGCGAGAAGACGTTGAGTAATTTTACACAGGATATTCCAAAAATTCTAGATTCGTAATCTTACATCTTACAATTTCTTGTCTCATCACGTCTACGCTCTCAAAAGTGAGGTGTCTACCTCGAGATCACCATATCTATCATGTTGAAGCTATTTATCATCTTTTTGAAATTTGAGATTTAATCATTTCCTACATACACTCTTTTAAATCTTAATCTTCCTTTCAAGTTTTCCAAGGGTTTTGATGAATGCATGAACCTGAATAATATCCTAGTTGTGTCGTTAGATACCCAATTATATCAAAGGATATATCCAGTGATCCAACGAAGCCACTCACCAATATAACAAGCTCTGATTCATCCGCTAATATTCCACTGAAAACTTTCCATCAGTATCGTCGCATTTTCATTCATTTCCAACTTCTATTTTCTGTCTTATCTAATCACCGCTTCTCATATTCCCTCAGTCCCATCGTTCCAAAATCTACCATGCCCTTTCCCTCTATTTTTTAGGAAACTTAACAAATCCCATCATCCTATATTTCGTAATCGGTTCCTCATCAGCCACCATTTCAGTTGGTCTTGAGTCTCCCGGTAATTCATTTATTGCACCCGACATATATGTATTGGGCACGGAAGTTGCAGAGTTTACTTCTGATTTGTGGAGGATGGGTGAAGTGGTAGTTGCATCGTTCTGTTATGTGTTAGTATCATATAATTTTGGGAGCGAATATAAAAAAGCAAAGACGCTTTCGAGATGATGTAGTGGGTGAACTTCCCGAGAACTCTCGAGGAAGAAGGAACGGAGAAAAATACTAACAGCAGTCAAAGGAATCTTCCTAACCACTCCCCTGTCCGCCTTCGAAGGATCAATCCATGCCATAACAATTGCGGCCTCCTCATCTGGCAATGACATGAATGCCATTGCGAATGAATCGGATTTAATAGTAAGTTCTCTTGAAACTGCTATTTTTCTGATGTCCAATGGACTAGAATTTAAAGCCGAGATCAAATATAAATGCCCCTTTTCATTAACCATAGCTAATTCTTTTCCAGATGGAGAGAAACTAGCGCATTGAATACGACTTCCCAACTTTCCAGATCGGTTAGGCGCAGTTCTGATATCTGTTTTTTGACCTGTTTTAGGATGGACGAGGACTGGAACACCGGATTGTGTCCAAGTCGTTATGCACACCAGAACTTCTTCAATACCCGTTCTTGACCGAAAAATAGCAGACGAAAGACCTCTATCTTCTGACTCATGTAATGGAACATGATATCTACAAGAAACTAGTTCTTGGGACGATTGCATTGGAGTCATCCAAAAATATATTTGGATGGCTCCGCTTTTGGCACTTCGGGTACTGGCTAGAAGATGCATCCCATCGTCAGAGTAGGAGAGGGTTTCCACCTCAGGACAGTCCTCGCATTCACTATGAATGCGACTATGAAGTCGATCCTCTCTAGGTTCGGATGATTGAGTGGTTTTGAAAAAGTAGACCGTTGCGTTTGTAAAGCCTACTGCGACGGTGCTTTCGTTGGGGGATATGGCTATACTGCTTGCCCAAAGATTTGGGGGTAAAGGATACTCTACAACCGGAGCTGATGTTTGCAAGTTGACTATTCTAAGCTAGCTTAATGTTAGTAAATAGATAAATCGTTGGGAAAGTGCTATTGACCGAAAGGACATACTGTGAGCTTTGGATCTCGGGTGCCAATTATATAAGCTAAATACATTTTGGTTACAGATGCCTTATAACAGCTACTCTCCGTTGGGAACACGCGGGTCATCGCGGGAGGGGATGCTCCCATATCCCAAATTTGTATCAAAGATTGAGTCCAGAATAGGCCATTCGTTGAATTCTGTGATAAAGAAATATTGATTGCTTTAGCGCTTTTGCTCTTCGAAGTCTTTCTTGGTACTCGAACTAAGCTTTCTAAGTTTATTTCGTCCAGTCTTTGAGCCTCCAGTGCTGATGAGGAGAGTGATGTGGTCTCGACGGACTGTCCTGGAATAGACTCCTTTCGCGTTCCAGTGAAAACCGATGTCCATTTGGATCCACCTTTTGACTTTTTTCTATCAGAATGGCTCTGGCCCATTGTTGGTCGGTTCAAAAAATAAGTCCCGCTTTCAGAGTTCATTCCATATGGGGTATGGTCATTCGGTGAAGTATTGCCAACGGAATCTGGAGAAAATGGTGTCTCGTCTGTGGTAGTAGAATTTTTCCGGAGCTCTGGTATTCTCGAGGTTTCACCTGACCTAGAACCATCCAGTGATACCAAATCAGAAGAGGAAGAAGGTAGGGTAATAGGGGTATCTAGTCTTTGGCTGAAAGTACCAACAGTAGGGGATACTTGAGACGGCATAGTGTGAGGTAGAGACCTAGACCGATCTTGAGCAGCTGCAGAGATAAAAGTTGTCTTGTTGTGAAAGGGTGAAGGTGGCTCAGTATCATATGTGCGCATCTTCACATTGCTTGCACTTGAATTACCGTAGGCTGGATGATAGGGGATTGTTACATCCATTTTCGGCGGTGGCAGTTGGAAATATGTTGGAACATATCGTTCCAGATGCATGGCATCTGCATGAGATTCAAAGGGCTCAAGAAGATCCCAAACTTGCCTTGCAAGTGCCATCTCACGCATTATTGTAACTGGTTCTTCGCATTGAACGCATTTTGTCTTTGAGGGTAGTCTAACCTCATTTATATCTGGGTTCTCCAACTGAGCATAGAGATCATCGTCAGCATGCTATTCCATTTGCGTCAGTCCACATTCAGACTATTCCAAGTTGCTCGGAACCTTCCCAAATAATCATGTCAGAAGTTAAATTCTAGTAAAATACTTGGCGTACCGGAAATTTCAGATTCTCTAGGTATCTCATCTGTGAGGCACCAGCTAAATGACATTTTGAGCAATTGAGCGTGTATATTCTCGGTCTTGACGATTTGGCATGCCGGCTTGGATCATCAAGAGCAAGAATCCTTTTCGTAATTTCAGATATAGTATGCATCATCTCCCTATCGCTCACACGACTTATGATTTGACGATCGTTAAGTCGTATACATAGTGCATCTATTGCATCCAATTCCTTATCATCTATTTCTATCTGCATCGACTGTCTCCTCAAATCTGGCGTATCTGGAAGGATGATTCGATATTGATCAGTAAAAGTACCGACCAAATCTTCTTTGGAGAATCGTGTCGGTACTCGCATATTCTCAATCGCTCGTAGAACTGCATTCCTCGTTCGTTCTGATGCTGCTGGAAGATATGCATCGCGAGTTTCTCCATTTATCGTATATTGAATCGAAGCTGCGACGACGAATTGAGTAATGTCTCGAAGTGCCAGGAACTGTGCGAGCCATCCACCTCCACCTCCACCAGTACCCCCTCCTCCTCCTCCTCCTGAGCCATCTGCGAGTATAAGAGTAGATACATATTTTGTCGAGAAGCAATCGTTCAATGGATACTGTAGATGAAGAAGTGTGTCAGTCAGTTTAGATTCTTAGATTTTGATTAAAAGGTTCTAGAAGGGTATGTAGAAAGCTTTAGGCCGAGCGGAGCCCCATAAGTAAGACGTTAATATAGTGGCTCTTACCAATTCTTCTGCTACATTTGGCAGTTCATCCCTTAATTTAGAGGGTAAAGCTAGTGGGTTAGGCTCCGAACCCCGCAACGATTCAGTTATTTCTTTGCAAACCAACAACAAAAATGATTTTGGCCCTGGATAACTGTCAAACATATGTTCCAGTGAACGATGAATGCGCCCAAATCTATCTCGACGAATCTTTCTCTGCAATTCGATTTTCGATTGAGATTGTCCATCGGATGGTGGTTGTGGTAATAGCTGGAGGACTCGAAGCGCAGATAATAACAGCTCGGCCAAGTACTTGTCTCTCAATTGTCGCGACTCCCATAAACTCTCTCGCCCTTCGATAACAATGTGCAAGACAAATTCGATCATCCGCAGAGTCACCTCCCAGCTGGCCAGAAATCCAAAATACCATCCATCTTTTTGAAGCTTCGCAGATGGGATAGAGAGGCGTTGGATATAAAAAATGGCGTTGAGTTGAGCAAATAGAGTTATTACGAGATTTTGATAGGTTTCCTTATCGCCATCAGAATATACTTTTTCGAGGGAAAACTGCCCCACCAGTTCCAATATTATATTATCGACGTCGCTGCGCAGGGACAAGAGTTTCCATATGTTTGCTAGACGTGTAAATTGTGGTGATGCGGCCGAGGCTGGAGTCGGCATGGTGTGTTGATGGCATGAGCTCTCAATCTACGTAGTAGCTTCAACGATTCGAAGCAGTCTGGTCGCCACGTGGGCTGACTCCCTCAACTTGGTGCCGCAATAATGGCAAGCTTTGAGAGTATATCATAA